AGGCCATCGTGGTCATCAAGGACATCTTCCGCAAGTACCCCAACAAGTGCGTGGGCCTGGGCGAGCCCCTCCTGCCCCTCTGTGCTCGGGGGGCCCACGAAGCCCCTGGAGTGGGTGAGGGATGGGGGATGGAGCCCCCCTGGAGCCTCCCTGCAGCACAGCTTTGGGTTCTGCCCCAGGAGTTAAACTGGAGGCAGGAAAGTCGTCCCCAACCCCAGGAATGCCCCCAGCCCTCCCCCTGGGATGGCATTCCCAGAGCCAGGGACCCCAATGGAGGGAGCTGCTGGGGATGTGGAGGTTCCTTGTGTCAGCAGAAACTGGCTCTGGCTGTTAATCCAGCTCCTGGTGCTGGAACAAGGGCAGCAGGAGGAGAGGGGAGGGAATGTTCCAGCTGAGCCAGGATGAATAGGCAAGTCTGTAATCAGGAAGTCAGGGACTAATAGTGGGAATAAATACTAATGAACTGAATTGGTAACGAGCAGGAGCTCTGCAGGAATAGCCAACAGCTCCAGAGAGGAGCAGATCAGAGGAGTGGGGCTGAGGGGTTAATCCAGAGCAGGGAATGTGCTCTGGGATCAAAGAGGGCACTGGGGAGAGGGAACAATCCCAGGCAAGGTGCCCTCGGCCATGCCCTGGCTCTGCTCAGGGGGATGGGATGTGGTTTGGAGTTAGGGTGGACTGGGGTTTGGGTTTCCTGCTCTTGGTGAGTGAACAGATATCTCCTCCCGGGGAAGGTACGAGAGTGTCATTGCCACCCTCTGTGAGAACCTGGACTCCCTGGATGAGCCCGAGGCCAGGGCTGCCATGATCTGGATCGTGGGGGAATACGCCGAGCGCATCGACAACGCCGACGAGCTGCTGGAGAGCTTCCTGGAGGGATTCCATGATGAGAGCACCCAGGTGGGGCAGGAGGAGTGGCTGGGTGAGGGGGACACTGTGACACAGCTTGTGCTGACTGGAGTGGAGCAGTCTACTCTAAAGGAGCAGGAAGGTGTTGCATTGCCAGGTGTTTGGAGCAACCGTGTCCCACAGCAGCTCCGGGTGCAGGATGTGATCCAGGGCTTGGAGCAACCTGGTCAGTGGAAGGTGTCCCTGCCCGTGGCAGGGGGGTGGAATGAGATGAGCTTTAAGGTCCCTCCCAACCCAAACTATGCTGGGGTTCTATGAAATGCCACCATGGTGTTGTCCCGAGCACCTCCTGCCATTCTTGGTTGGGAGGGACCAAGAGGTCACCCAGTCATTCCACTGTGCCAGCACAGGATCAGCCCTTGGGAGCTGGGAAACAGAGCCAGGCAGCTGGAATGAGCAGAGGGAGCTGTGCCTGCCCTGCCCTGCCTGCTGGGGCACATGGGGTTTGCCTGTGGGATTGTGGAGGGCTTCCACCTGCTCCAAGCACTGTGAAACTAAGGGACAGTGAGCAGGGCAAAGCCTGGAAATGTGGAATAGCCAAGCCAGGGATTCTGACTCCCTGAGGGCTCTGAAGGGGCTGTCGGGGGCCATTCCTGCTGCTTATCTTCATGGAAGTCAGGGGTTGCTCTGGCCTGTGGGACTGTGGAACCTGCTCCCAGGATCTTGTCCCGTAACATCTGGATCCCCCCATGTTCCTGAGGGTGTGGGGATGGGCTGGGAAGGGGCTGCCCAGCTGGCTGGGAGCCACACGAGGTGCCCTGGCTCGTGTCACCGCCACTGACGTGGCCACCCTGGCTTTGGTCCCTCGAAGGGCAGGTCGGGGTTAGGTCGGGGTTAGGTCCTGGCAGCCCCTCCAGGGAAAATCCCGGTGTTCCTGATGTGTCTGTGTGTGTCCATCCCCAGGTTCAGCTCCAGCTGCTCACGGCCATCGTGAAGCTGTTCCTGAAGAAGCCCACGGAGACCCAGGAGCTGGTGCAGCAGGTGCTCAGCCTGGCCACGCAGGTGGGTCACACCCCGGGGCCTTCCCGAGGGCTTCCCAGCCCCGGGGGAAGTGGGAATGGCCTGCTCATGGGACAGCAGGTAACGGGGAGCTTAATGCAGAGTCATGGAATGGTTTGGGTTGGAAGAGACCTTGAGGATCTTGTTCCAGCTCGCAGGGACATCTCCCACTAGGCCAGGTTGCTCCAGCCTGGCCTTGGACACTTCCAGGGATCCAGGGGCAGCCACAGCTTCTCTGGGCACCCTGTGCCAGGGCCTCCCCACCCTCACAGCCAGGAATCCCTTCCCAATCTCCCATCT